CACAAGCATCCTCCACTGCAACCACTGAAAATCCAAGGTATGGACATTGAGGCTGTGGACAGCTACAGGTACCTTGGAGTTCATCTGAACAACAAACTGGACTGGACTCATAATTCAGACGCCCTCTACAGGAAAGGGCAGGGCAGGCTGTACTTGCTGTGGAGACTCAGGTCATTTGGAGTGGAGGGCCCACTCCTGAAGACCTTCTATGACTCTGTGGTGGCCTCAGCCATCTTTTACGGTGTGGTCTGCAGCAGCATCTCTGCCGGGGACAGGAAGAGACTGAACAGGCTGAGCAAAAGGGCCAGCTCTGTTCTAGGATGCCCTCTGGACCCAGTGGAGGTGGTGAGTGACAGGAGAATGGTGGCTAAGCTGTCATCCCTGTTGGACAACATCTCCCACCCCATGCAGGAGACTCTGACAGCACTGAGCAGCTCCTTCAGTGGCAGGCTACAGCACCCACGATGTGGGACGGAGAGATTTCGCAGGTCTTTCCTCCCCACTGCTGTCAGACTGTACAACAAAGACTCCAACTGATCAAACACACACATCCACACATGTGCACTAACATTAAGTGCAATACTTTTTTCTGGCATCGTTGTATTTTTACTCAGTTGTATATAGCATTTGTATTCTATTTTTATCCTATTGTATATTTTATTCTATTTTATTCTACTGTATATAGTATTTTATTTTATTCTATTCTGTACAGTTGTGTACTGTATCTATTCTTATTGTATTCTAATTTTTGCTTCATAACTTTTGCACTGTCCACTTCCTGCTGTGACAAAACAAATTTCCCACGTGTGGGACTAATAAAGGTTATCTTATCTGATCGTATCTTACAGACAGTGCAAGTACTTGTTTACAACACTTTTTCTGCATTTAAACTCACTAAGACAACCGTCTGTAGCTGTCTTGTTTACTTATCAAAGTGCAAAAGACCTAGCTAATACGTGGTCCACCGCTTGTATGTCAGGACTAATTTTGCTTCTGAACATATAAAATTGGAGAGAGGATTACACTTCCTTTTTTCAAAATAAATATTTCTCAAAGTAAAAGAGTGCAAATGCATTGATACAAATAAAAGGGAGAAAATAAAATTTTAAAAAAGAGGTTTTCTCTACTGGGTTACACCTTCCCCAGCTAAATACCACACAGGTCTCGTTGCATGTGTAGCCAATACTGCCTGTCTTTGCAATTAAGGGATTATGAAAAGGCTGTGCTCAAACCCTGGAAAAGTGATTTTACAACAGTCACTGGAAGGTTTCCTGAATCAGGATAATCAAGTCTTTTAGAAGGATGTTTGATTCTGATTATCTCACTGTATCAAACAGTGATGAAGGGTTGATGACACGGAATCCACAGCAGTCCTCTCGCAGCTCTCCTCTCTCTCCACGCTGATCAACAACAGGTCGGATGCCCTGGAAAAGATGGCCAGCCAAAACTCCGCTGTGATCGTAGAGGTGAAAGATACCATTAAAGGAAATGCAAAGCAGATCGAATATATCAAACAGTCCTTTGAATTTATCTGTGCTGATATTAAATCCGTGAAGGACAAAGTTGACCACCTTCAGATGCAGCTTGCCAAATTTCAAGAAACCCATGACGCACAAAAGAAACAACTCTCTCGCCTGGAGAGTTGTGACAAGGATGGTCATTATATTCTATTAGTGCTTAAGCTTGCTAACCTGACTTTTGTAATTGTAAATGTCTGTGGTTTCAATTCCCATACTGAAAATAATGCACTTATTGGCAGGTTAGAAGAACTTGTGCTTCACTAGTTAACTAAACTCCCTGATTCTCACATTATTTGTGGCGCAGACTTTAACGCTGTACTAAACAACCGTCTTGAGAGGTGGCCTCCTAAAAGTTCTGACTAATCTAAAACTGTTTATGAGCATTTTATTTAATGGATACTTGGAGGGACATGCACCCATGTCAGAATGAATACACATGGTGTAACAAACTTTTATCAAGTCAGTCTCAAATTGACTATTGGTTCATCTCTAAAGATCTGAGTAATGTGGCTGCAGACATCTTACCATCGCCTCTATCCGATCACAAATCTATTCACATTTTTATTCCTGTAGTACCTTCTCCCCTCTCTCATAAGCCTGCTTACTGGAAGCTTAACAGCAGTATCCTTAAACATTCTGCTGTATGTTCAGAGATCAGAAAGTATTGGAGCAAAGCAATAAATGAAAATTCCTTTGGTCTTGACTGGGAACTGTTAAAATATATAATTGCAAAATTCCTAAGGAAGTACTGTAGTGATTTAGCCAAAATGAGAAAAGAAGAAGAGCAGGAAGTAATAAGCAAGATCTTTGCTCTCAATGAGTCTGAAAAATTTCAGCTTGTTGTGCAGCAGCATAGGCCTGATGAGATTTACAAGCGAAGAGCTGAGGGAGCTTTTGTCAGGTCGCGCAGGCAATGGCTTGAAGAAGGTGAGCAAAATTCTGCTTACATTTTTAGGTTAGAAAGGCAGCAGTCAAGAAACAACTCAATTCAGTATTTAAAAATGTATGGCTCAATCACTGATGAGCCAAAAAAAAATTTCCAATATCTTAACCCCTTTCCTAAAAGAAGTTTACATGGAAAGTATAAATAAAGGCTCACTCCCCCGACAAACCCATTTTCTGTGCGGTTGCAGAAGCTAACTTATAGCTTTCCTCTAGCCAATTCTTGAGACTTTTAACAGCTTGCAAATGTGTCACT